AAGGTCCCTTCCAGCCCAAACCTTTGTATGATTTTATGGTAACTTGTTGCGCAGTGATTTGTGTTTCTTGCTGTTCACTTCTACTATCCTGTTTTTCCAGCCAGTCAACTTTACCTCATTCAAACAGCAGTAATGAGCTGTCTGCCGCTGCCAGTCTTCCTCTGATCATCCGGGAGAGGGACACAGAGTACCAGCTCAATAGAATTGTTCTGTTTGACAGGCTGTTGAAGGTATGGAGTCTTTCTGATGCTGGATAATTGGATCTGGTCTGTTAATTAGAGGATTTTTCAAGGACCAAGTAATTGAAAAAGGAAGCAGAGGTACAAGAGACCTCAGTGGGAAAGAGGAAAGAAAACACTAAGGGAGTATGGGAAGACTGAATACAAAAAATTTGAGAAATAGGTATTTTTAGTAGAGATGAATATAAAAATAGATGTGTAATAATGTAAATGAAAAGAGCTGCTGAAAATGCCTGTTATTTACTGAAGAAACCCTTTCTGCAGCCTCTATTTCATAACACACTAAGCCATTATCAGTAGAGATACGCCTGTACGATATCTTCATTTCCAGCCAGTAAGGTTCTTGACAACAGCACCTGTCTTGGCCGCAGTCTGCGTGTTAGAAATACGGGTCTTATACTGAGGGGGGAGCAGACCAGTCCCTAACTTGTATGCAAAGAGATGGATTCTCATTTAAGAATGAGCGAGAGCTGATGTGCAGAAATCAGGAAGGTACACACTGGAAATGTTCAATAAAACACTGTCAGATACGGAGTCCAGAAAGAAACATACAATGAAGAAAAAACTTTTAGTAACACTGGGATTAGTAAATTTTGATGTCCAGTGTATGCCAAGCCCATGAACATGTCTGAGAAGGAGTGAGTACTTCAGCATCAAGCAGCAGTCCTCCATCCTGCCAGTTAGGAATGAGAGCCACCTCTTGTACAAGTTGCATTTACTCTTCAGGCTGACAGCCTTTGTCCTTTGGGGAAAGACCATCGCAGGCCTGGGGTTTGAATTGTTTCAGTTGCCTGTTAACGTTTTCTGTTGCTTGTCTCTTCTCTTCGAAGGCCTACCCATATAAGAAAAACCAGATCTGGAAAGAAGCCAGGGTTGATATCCCTCCTCTTCTAAGAGGCGTAACCTGGGCTGCCCTGTTGGGTGTTGAGGTAAGGGAGGGCATTTGCAGAGTTCTGGTACTGACTGGGAGGGAATGGGATAGCAAGGGGTTTGACAGGGAGCAGCTGGAATGGGCTTGAAAATGTGGCGGGTAGAATTACTGGAACTTCAAACAAAATGAGTCATGAGGTTGTGTGAGCAAAGACAATGTTCAGACAAACTTACTTCTTGGCTGTTTCAAAGAATGTATGTAAATTTGGATGCCTTTATTTTGATTGTGGAATAGAAAAATACTACCCAATACACCCAGATTTTGCTGGGTTGTTTCAGTGCAACTGGTAGTTAACAGGGGTTTTGGTTTCATTTTTCAGTATTTTTGACAAATGCAGTTACCATCCTTCTGCTCCAGCCAGCAATAGTTGGGCAGAACGGGGTGGATTTATTAAACGGATTTTTCTCACCTACCAATTGATGCACTTCCTTCAAAGAGGGGAGAATAAATTCAGTGCAACCCTTTTGGGAGAAGGATTGGAAAGGAATGTCCCAGAAACGAGGGATCCTCGTAGAGATCGCGTGACTACGCGGCTCTTGCATCTACCCTGCTGCAGTCTGCCGTAGCGCAGCAGAGAGGTGCTTGCAGCCAACACACCCCGGGCAGCTGGGATACTTCGCTTAGGATCTTAGGCAGTTGGGATACTTACTTAGCACGCAGATCTGCTGTGTGCTGTGTAGTGTAACCAAAAACAAGCTGCGGAGGTGAAGAACAGCTGCTGGTTAGGGTTCTGGTCTGGGAGATGAGGTGGTGCTCGTGCTTCATCAGCTTACCTTCTGTCCCGTGTGGGTCGTGTTTCCCTGTCCCATGATGTTAGGATGGACTCGCTGGCATGCCAGGTTTGGGATTCATGTGAGGACAGGCTACTTGAGTAGTGCGTGCTGGTAGTATCAATGTTAATTCCCAGGCAGCTGGCTTCAGCGCCCGTAGAGAGGTGACGCTGCCAGGGGATGTGGTAAGCACTGACCTGAAACTGAGGGCATCTCTCAACTTGAAAATGGCAAACAGTTCCAAGTCCATAGCTTTCTGCTCACACAGCTGCAAAGCACTGAGGTTCGTTCCGAGGAGGTGACAGAAGGGTCTGTATGTCCTGAATTCTAACAAAATAAAGATGGTTTTGTTACAGTTCAGCTGACAGAATTTTCTGTACTTTGGAGTTTTCAGGGAAAAAAAGAAGGTCGCTAACTAAAGCACCTAACAGAAACAGTCGGCTTCCGTACGTCGGCACGTACGCTCTAACGTGCATTTATGTTAGGTGTTGTTCTTCCACATTTACTTTGGAGTTTTCAGGGAAAAAAAAGAAGGTCGCTAAGTAAAGCAGCTAACAGAAACAGTCGGCTTCTGTACGTCAGCGCGTACGCTGTAACGTGCATTTATGTTAGTAAGGGCTTTCTAAATTCAGGTGTTCTTCTTCCACATGTAGGGTGCCATACAAGCAAAATATGATGCCATCGATAAAGACACGCCGATTCCTACAGACAGACAAGTAAGATCTCTGCTGTTCCCAAATATTGTCCCTTGAAGTGATGCCGAATCTCTTCCACCAGTCACAGCCATCTGCCTCTTACAGCGGCCGTGGCTCGTAATGCTAAAAGGGTTCCCCTGCCCTCTAACCTTGCTCATGCTGTACCAGGAACCTTACAGAATGGTGGGAACAAGTAATTTAACTCAAATTACACTATAACATGTGGAAGGTGAAATCCTCTTGTATTCCCGAGTCACTGTTGCTGTGGCAGCAGCGAAGCGTAGTGGGCAGTCTTACTGGTGTCTTGTTCAAGTCCTGTTTGTACTGAGTGTTTGTTGTGCCTGTTGGACCTTGCACCAGGGGGTGCTGAGCACCTTGAGGTGCTGTAAGGTGAGCTGTGCTTTGCAGAAATGGCTTCTTGAGCAGTTAGGTTCTCCAAGAAGTCTTGCCAGGCATGAAAAGACATCACGAGCAACAACTGTTCCTGTTGGCTGGGTGAGGAAGGATTTTCCATCCAATTGAGTACAAGGTTCTGAGAATTCCAGTTTGATTCTCCTTTAGAGCAAAGTGATATTAGCACCTGAAATGAGTCCAGAAGTTGGGTCAGGAAAGGCTGTAACCGTAATCTGCTTTCTGCCTTTTGCAAGGGTTGGAACCCTTTTAAAAATATGAACCTGGAAAAAGAAAGACTGTAAATTTTACTCTGTCAGGGCTGTTGGTCCCCTGTGCCCTTTCAGGTTTGGTTTAGAGCGTGGTGGAAGAGGCAGACTGTGTTTACGAGGGTGGTCTGACCTGCGTTTTCTGGCTGACTTCCACCCCTAGTGTTGTGAAATTGCCTTAGTACAGCCCCGCTTACCCCCATTTCTCTGTGATATGCTTGGCTGTGGTGCAGATCGAAGTTGATATTCCTCGTTGCCACCAGTACGATGAATTGCTGTCGTCGCCAGAGGGTCACGCGAAGTTCAGGCGTGTATTGAAGGCCTGGGTGGTTTCCCATCCGCACCTGGTGTACTGGCAAGGTGAGTTGGGTTAGTTGGCAAGGCAGACTAATGGTTCCAATTAACTGGAAAGCTGTGGCAGAATTAAATCCTCTTCCCCCCACAATGCAGGCTATTTTTGAGTGCTTTCCGTTGTGTTTCTTTTGAAGAATGGATCTGTGGGTTATTGCCAATTCAGATCCGATAATTTATATATAATTTTAATGCAAAATTACCCCGCTCTTTCTTACATATGTGCTTTCCTTAAGTTTCAGTCACTCAATAAAACCAAGTTTGCTGCTTAGTGTTCAGTTCAAAAGTAAAACTGTAGAAGGTCCTGAGCGAGTTCTTGGGACAGTAAATTGCATTTTTGGAAGCCTTGGCAGGATAATCAATTCAGCATTGTAGTTCAACAATTTGAAGTCCTCTTTGTTTTCATGCACTGATTTCACAGACGTTCTCAGCGTTACATGTAAAGCCTGATATTGCACGATTATTATCAATATCAAGTATGCAAATTTTCATGCTAAATTAATGAATTTATCTTGTGCATGACAATAAATGAGCTCTTTATGCTGTTCCCTCCTGGCTTTTCTCTCTTTAGGTCTTGACTCTCTTTGTGCACCATTTCTGTACTTGAATTTTAACAATGAAGGTGAGTACCTTTTTCTGCCGAGGTCAGGGGGGAGGGGGAAGCACAGCCTGTTGGCTGTGTCTGGCTGTGGGCAGATGGGCACGCACCCACCAATAGATGGGTAGCTACAGAGGAATTTTCAAGGTCTTGTTGCTACAGGCCAAAATAAATGTCTGCTTTTTGAAAAGTGTATGTGGGGTACTGCTCCTCAGGCAGGGGTTCAAACCCTGTGTTTGAGCCAAGCACAGTCATGAGTGTGTAATAAAAAACACAAGTAACCTTGGTCATGGAAAAGCAAGAAATGCTGCTGCAGTACTTGTCTTTCTCAGCGGAGCTGTTGCTCAGCCTCGTTTCATCCCAACACGTTGGGTGCTAACTGAACTGTTAGCCTGTCAGACTGGCTTTATTCAGACAACCTGATAATGGTTTTAAATGCCTAAAAGCTAATCAGACCAGCTTGGGATGTGTGGCTTTTATCTTCTTAGAATGGGATTTATTCAGAATGGCTCTAGTCCAACTTCCTGTTCTCTTGCTACTGTCTGTCTCTGTGTAAGGTCTGTGGGTGAGAAAACGCGTTTCGTAGGACAGTGGCTCCCTTCGTGCTGCCTGTGCATACTAATTCAAATATTCCACCCGATGTTTCTTGCTCTGGGACATGTTCCTGAACAGTTTGACTGGAGAACCTGCTTTCCTTCCCATTGAAGCAAAATGGAGCAGTAGTGAACTATGTCAACTTGTTGTTCTGCTTGATGAACTCAATGGCACGCGTTTGGCTAAGGCAGTTAGAAGGCGGTTTCGCTGCTAGAAAGGTTGCAATGACATAGGAGTCATTTACAACATGACCCAATGTCCTATTTGCTGTAAACCTGATGTTTTGCTTAGAAACTTCCACAATTATATTTATTGTCATCGGTCAATTTACAGCAAACCCGTATTTCATTCTTCTCTCTGTGGCCTAGCACCACGGCTAAGAACTGTATTACAACAGCTCTCAGCCAAGCTGCCAGGAATTAATCAAGGGGATAAACGCTGACGTTTGTACCCTCTAATCTCTATTTGGTATGTATGTGAGGAGCCGCTGAGAAATTGAAGATGGTTTTGTCCATCTTTTTGACAGGTTTTTTAATTATATTCAGGTCTGTGGGTTTCCTTCCAAATTCCGTCATCTTTGGTCTCAGAGCTGAAGTAAGAGGCGAGACGCGAGTCTGATGGGGCACAGACGGGGTGTGAGTTCTGTAGGAGACAGCCCAGAAGACTGCAACAGTGCAGCTGTCTGAAACTGTCTTTTGAAGATTTTATTTATCCAGGGACCTTCCCTTTTTGATACAAATATCATGGCTTAGAATCATAGAATCACTGGCCCAGAAGACTGCAACAGTGCAGCTGTCTGAAACTGTCTTTTGAAGATTTTATTTATCCAGGGACCTTCCCTTTTTGATACAAATATCATGGCTTTCCCCACTTCATCTCATGGCCTTGTCACTGGGAAGTGTGGAAATAAACTGGGAGCAGATAAGGGCCAGCCAGCTTTATAGTGGTTACTCAGGGACAGGAAGAGACTGGTTTTTAGGAGCTTTTAAAATTCTTTCATGAGGAATGTGCCCTTTTCATGTGTGTTAAAATAAATTTTGTGTATTTTTTGATTGAAGTATTTATGCTTATCTGCTTTTATAGTCATCCATTTTTCTATTTCTTTCAGCTCTGGCATACGCCTGCATGTCTGCTTTCATCCCCAAGTATTTGTATAACTTCTTTCTGAAGGATAATTCTCATGTTATTCAAGGTAAGTCCCTCCCCCTTTTTTTTTTGGTAGTTCTAAGAGAACTCAGAAATGGAATTGGTGGTATTCAGGGGGTTAGGAATTTGAGGGGAATTTCTTACTGAACAGCAGATGGTGTTATTCCATGCAGGACAAGAGGTAGAGAACTCTGAGGAGTCAAGTTTCATAGTTCAGTCTTCAACAAGTCTCTGTAGTGACTCAGAGAAGTTCAGACAATAGCGAGGAGGTGTCTGTTCTGCTTGAGAATGCATTGTGAACTTCATGGAAACACAGAGAAAGAGTTGTCTAGACCTAGAAAGCCACTGTGCCACAGTCTGCGTTGGACAGATACTTTTTCTTGCAGGCAGGTTTTACAAATGGAAAGAAGCTGAAAAGCCATCAGTCCCTTAAGAAGATGGGTGGCAATGGATGTCCTTAGTTGCAAACAGTTAGGGGTGGTCTTTGAGTACGTGGGTTCAGCATGGCTTGCTGTCCTTGTGTCTCTAAAGACATTCGTATGCATATAACTTGTGAAACTCCTCGAGTTAGGAATGGTGTCTGTCATTTTTTTGTCTTCAAAAAACAGGAAATTAAGAATGGATCAATGTAAAAATAAGTAGACATGAAAGCCGTTGCATATTGGGTAGGGAGAGAGCCAGCGTAAGGAGAGAACACACTGGCTAGGAGAGGTAACATATGAAAGGCAGTGGGTGGGAGGTGTTACGAACTGATTATGTAACAGTAGTTTGGAAAAATTATTCGAGAACTTGTTTGCATCCTTTTGTCTGCAAAGAAAGAGTGCTTCCTGGAGAAAAAGGGCCGCAAAGTTCTGAAGCTTAAGAGTGTAAGCATTTTATATCAGATGCTCCTGTGGAGACAACTACTTCAGACTTACGGCTAACGCCTTGGCGAAGCCTTTTCTCACGGGGGTATGCTCTGCCATTAAATAATGCGTTTGCTCTCTGGAGTTCCCTGATGTTATTCCCAAGGGCCTTTACAAGAATGTGTCAGCCAGTGTTAGAAACGCAGGTCAGTAGGATTCTGTGAACCACAGTGCTGTGGGCGTCCCCGAGTTCACGGGTAACATCTGGCGTCATCAAGGGCTTGGGGAGACGAGCTTTGAGGATTCTCTCAGTATGCTGATTTAATCCTTCCTAGCGTCATAGCTTAAACACCAGTGTGTAAATACAGTTCAGAGCAAAGCTGTGCAATTTCCCTGCTTTGTTGGGTTGGAAGAAAACATTAATAATGTCATTTAACTGCCTACTGCAATTTTAGCTTCTTTGTATCTTCTATTTGTGATCCCATCCCACACATGAAGGCAGGTGTTTTTTCTAAGCCTATCAGATGTGTTTTCTCCATGAAACAGGAAGCAAGAGCAGCCAAAGTGATTTGGGTATGGAATACCCAGGTGTGCAAAACAAGAATTCATATAAAATTCCGACCAACAGCAATTGGCTGGACCCAAGCGACAGGTTTTTGTGAAGATCTGTGTGTTTTCAGCAGACCCTTAATCACCCGTGTAATCCCACACAGTAATTGCATTTCACGAGACTGGCTAGTCAAATAAAGATGGTATTTATCAACCTGTAGTATATCTGTAGAGAACCATTGTGGGCACGAATCCTCATCTTTAGTCTAATCAGGAAGCTAATTTCGAAATGGTCTTCATCAGCCTACGGCTGAATGTGTAATATCCCTGGCTTACTACAACTGACTTGTGATTTATGGCTGTTTCATGAAATAAAACTGATATGAGATGCATCTTAGAGATGCACTTTTTGGAAATGATTAACCTGTAGTATGGTATGAACTTCAGGCATGGGTTCCATTATCTCCCTGACTGGTATGCGTGTGAGTAAGAATGACTCTGGTTTGAAACTGAGAAAAGGTGAGATCGGTGAGTAGCTCCAAAGCAGCCTGGCCTTGGTGGCACAGACCTCGGCACGGGTCTGTTTACCCACTTAACCCCAGGGCTGAGTGCTGCCACGGCATCTGGGGCAGAGTTGACATGCAGCGTCGAGGGGAGAGAATCACAGAATCCCAGAAGGGTTTGTGTTGGAAGGGACCTCAAAGCCCACCCACTTCCACCCCCCCTGCCTGTAGTTGTGCCACTTCAGGGATGAGGACTGAGTAGTAGGGAAAATAGTGTTTGCTCTGCCCTAGAGAGACAGGAGTAGGCATGTAGTCCTTATGATGGACTTCAGAGGAAGCAATGGGAACTCTGGATGGCTCATCTATGGACCTGTGTGGACTTGGTATCTGGGGGCTTGTATCTGGGGACAGTGGTCTGGAGCACTGAGGTGTCAGCATATTCTGATGTGCGAGCAGGGCTCACATTCTCTGTCTCTGTTCCTCTCCTCTCCTCGCTGCCTGGGCCCTCATTCCTCTTGGGAGCACAGAGGAAAAGGAATTGCCATCTGTTGTAAAATTGTGATGTTATTGCCTCTTCATCTTCCTTCTAACAAAGCATATGACAGTGTGGATGAAGCTGGGAGAGGGGCAGAACAGAGAAATCCATCAGTGCCTGTGCTGCTCTTTGCTTCTCTTCCAATTAAAGGCAGATGTTATTTAGACAACCTCATTAAATTGTACCCATCAGCCTAATGTGCCATGCTGAAGATGTAATACAATCAGTATTTCTCCTTATCTGTTCCAAAAAAGTACAAATTAAGACATTATCGATCATGGAAAAGGTATCCCTCAGTTCCCACTGCCTTAAAAACCACAACTTCCCGACTACAACATTTAGCTTTGTAGAAAAGAAGCCACCCAGAATATAATTCAAAGAGTATAAACTTGTGTATCATTAAAACAGTTTGGGTCTCAAAAATCCTTGAAACAGTCTTGTTCTGGTTTGCTTCCACCGGTATCTTGTGGCTGATACTGAGAGTTCTTTAACATGCGGCACAACCCGAGTGTGAACCAAGGGAACCTTTGCCCAAAAGGCAAATCCGGAAGTACGAAGGAAGAGAAATGAAACATTTATTCCTCTGTATTGCATATAATGGTGGCCGGGAGGACAGTAGTGGTATTCATGTGCTGGTTTATTGTAGGTTCAAAAAATGTTAATGAATTAATGTTCTCCATCTGTGCTGGGAGCTGGTGGCATGCGGTGGCTGGCGGTTGTGATGATCATCCTGAACTTGCTTGTCGTTTCAGAATACCTGACGGTGTTTTCCCAGATGATTGCATTCCATGATCCAGAGCTGAGTAACCACCTTAATGAAATTGGTTTTATTCCAGATGTAAGTACTAAAGGTTTTCTTATAAGTGTTGTTCAAAGGAAATTAAAGAATGGAAAATGAGGGCAAGCAGGATGAGATGCCTCTCCCAGACTGTTTCAGTACCCGTTTGACATGGGTGCTAATGACCCACATCTGAAGAGGGTGGGAGGGAGAAAGGTGAAGGGAGAGTGGGGAGAAGGGATAAAATTCTTCTGTAGAAAGCCAAAGTATCTGGGGGTGCAACGGGCATGGGTGACAGCAACATGTCAGTTCCTGAGGGAGAATCAGTTTGGCAGCATCGCTGTGTAAGCGCACTTGATATTTATCTGTTGAAGGCTGTGTGTGACCAAAGTGATTCCTCTGTGTATTTTGTCCAGGATAATAGTTCCCACTGAAGAGGTACAGCTCTAATACTGCCTTACCAGACCACAGTACAGGCCCCCATTTCTGCTGTTCACCTCCATGAGAGCTCTGTAACATCAATCCTGGGTGTCAGCTGATGTTCCAGCAGCTCCTTGTGCCTGCTTATGCAGTTGTAATTCTCCACTGCAAACTTCCAAGGTGCAAGGCAGGTGGAATAGTTTGAAATCATCTGGTCTGTTATATTGTAGTTTTTGTGTTGTGCTGGTCATTGGACAGCACCTAGTCAAATGTGAGCCTTGTCTCTAAGTGTCTGGAGATGATCACAGATCCACAGAGTGGTAGAGGTTGGGAGGGAGCTCTAGAGCTCCTCTAGTCCAACC